ATGCGATAAAAGTTGCGATGATGTAATAATGGTGCGATTTTAAATTTTCCTTCTTTTCACGAGTCTTCTATCTTTTATATTATCTTTATTTTAAGTTCAGCAGCTAAAGCAAAGAGAGAGGCCGAGTTTACGTTCAAGCAAATTTTGCACTCCGTATGTTTCAATTACTTTTAATGTTTTATCTATAAAAAAAAATAAATAAATAAATTATCACTGATGTCTAAGCTGTGTTTTTATAATACTTCTTAGGATGATGTTAATCATGGTCATAACAATAATGATTATAATATCATATGATAATGATGATGAAAATAATAAAGATAAATAGTAAATAGTAAATAATCATCATAATAAAATACAAATAAATAATGATAACGATTATGATGATGGTAAACTTCATGAGTGAGGGGCGAACATGCATTTGATCAATAATGTATCTTAATATACAGCATGTGATTACAAGTTCTGTCTCTTAATTACTGCCAACCCACGACTTTCCTTCTCCTCCTCTCGTCTCAGGCCATCTATAGCCCAAACTATACACCTTCCAGTGATAATTGCAAGGTGTTGGATACCCTGCGTTCTTTACCTGTGATTACTTTTTCTTTGGGAGAAGACGAGGAACACAAGACGTGTGTGTGTGTGTGTGTGTGTGTGTGTGTGTGTGTGTGTGTGTGTGTGTGTGTGTGTGTATGTGTGTGTGTGTGTGTGCGTGTTTGTGTGTGTGTGTGTGTGTGTGTGTGTGTGTGTGTGTGTGCGTGTGTGTATGTATGTATGAATATGGGAGGATTCTTATATATACCTCGCTAGCATTACTCATGTATAAGTAGACAGATAATGTCTATGGAGCTAGTTAGATCCTAGTTGCACATTCCTTTTAGTGGGTTGCGTGGCATGGTTGGTTTAGTGCTGGCCCTCTGGTGTCATATCCAGAGTGACCTAGGTTCGAGGCCAGGTCAGGGAGGGTTGTTATATGCATATATATATATATATATATATATATATATATATATATATATATATATATATATATATATATATATATGCATACATATACATATATGTATATATACACATATATGTATGTATATATATGTATATGCATATATATATATATATATATATATATATATATATATATATATATATATATATATATATATATATATATATATATATATATATATATATATATATATATATATATATGTATATATAAACACATATACATGTATATATGTTTATACATGCATGTGTGCGTGTGTGTGTGTGTCTATCTGTGTGTGTGTGTGTGTGTGTCTATCTGTGTGTGTGTGTTGTGTGTGTGTGTGTGTGTGTGTGTGTGTGTGTGTGTGTGTGTGTGTGTGTGTGTGTGTGTGTGTGTGTGTGTGTGTGTGTGTGTGTGTGTGTGTGTGTGTGTGTGTGTGCATGTGTGCATGTGTGCATGTGTGCATATGTGCATGTGTGTGTGTGTGCGTGTGTGTATGAGCGAGAGAAAAAAAAATGAACTAGTCAGAGAGACGACTGACGAGAAGTTCCCTCTTCTCTAAGATGGAGGGGGAGAGGAGGGGAAGGGGACCCTTAGCCCCCCTCCCCCCTTCCCCTTATCCCCGACACCAATATCTGTAAATGAACCTAGTGTATTTCCCCATCACGTGGCTGCGTAGCGTGAGAGATCCGAGTTGAGTGAGGGTTGTACATAATACCGCTTGCTTTCTGATCTTCGTGCCGTGTGTTTTGATGTGTAGGTGTATTTGTGCGTGTGTATGTGTTGGCGTGTGTGTGCTTGTTTATTTGTTTTATGTGTATGTCTGTTTGTTTGTGTGTATGTGTTTGTGCCTATGGTTATGTGTTCACTAATCCATATATATATTCCGCGTGCATTGCAGCTACTGTATGCATTAAAACACACTCTGTAGGACCAATGTGTTTCATTAACGAGAGACCTTGGGTGCACATTAGCACATATATAATCTTTAAGAATCATAGAAACCCCCACAGAAAAAAGTGTGTGTCTGTGTGTGTATATGTATATATATAGATAGATAGAAATAGAGATAGAGATAGAGATAGAGATAGAAATAGAGATAGAGATAGAGATAGAGATAGAAATAGAGATAGAGATAGAAATAGAGATAGAGATAGAGATATATAGATATATAGATATATAGATATTTACAAGCAAATACGACTGTACTATCTCCCCTAATAGTTATTACCTCCCACCTCCAAAAAAGGAAAATTATAAGTAAATACGATCACAATATACATGCTCTCTCGAATATCTTAGTTGAACGAGAACAGCCGGCCACCAG